GGAGCCTTATTGTTTGAGTTCCACAAGCTGTTTCCTGGTCATGTCATCCTCCCCTCCAGGAAATCCCCTCAGATGTCTGTATAAACCTCCCTCCCTTGCTGTCTGTGCTCACTTCCTGGGCAGGGGGCTGCTTCCTCTAAACAGGAGCCTCAGACTTGGATGTTACCAAGCCGCCTCCCCCCAGCATCCTTGTCTTAGTGCCAGTAAGCAAGCACCCTGCCCCTGGCTCCTGTATGTTTTAAGAAATATATATATATTATTGATTTTCTACAGAGAGGAAGAGAGAGGGATAAAGAATTAGAAACATGGATGAGAGAGAAACATCAATCAGCCGCTTTCTCACTCCCCCTCCCCCCCACTGGGGATGTGCCCGCAACCAAGGTATATGCCCTTGACCGGAATCAAACCTGGGACCTGTCAGTCTGCAGGCCGACGCTCTATCCCCTGAACCAAACTGGTTTTGGCTCCTGTATGATTTTTGATGCTTTTCAAACCCCCACGAATTCTATTCCTTTTTGAGTGGTCCCTAGGAAGAACCCTCTGAGGCAGGAATGTAGGGATGATAGAGAAAATGGAGGTTTAGAGCAGTTTAGTGACTTGCCCACCTCCCAGAATAAAGAAAGGGTCCTGGCCGGGTAGCTCAGTTGATGAGAGTGTCATCCTGATACACCAAGGTTGTGGGTTCGATCCCTGGCCAGGGCACATAGGAGAATCAACCAATACATACATAAATCAGTGGAACAACTAGTCGATGTTTCTCCCTCTCTAAAACCATTAAATAGCCCAGCCAGCGTGGCTCAGTGGTTGAACATTGAACTATGAACCAGGAGGTCCAGTTCAATGCCCAGGCAGGGCACATGTCGGGGTTGCAGGCTGGATCCCCAATAGAGGACATGCAATAGGCAGCTGATCAATGATTCTCTCTCATCATTGATGTTTCCATCTCTCTCCCTAAGCCAGTGGCATCTTCCTCTTCCCCATAGCCTATCGCTAAGGGCAAACAGGGCTGGGGGCGAGGGGAAAGCTGGCTCCTCCCTCACAAAGGAATGACATACTGCTTTCTGAAGACCTTGGCTGTGGAGGCTACCTGCCAACATTGCAGCTAACAGCGGCTTTTCACTCACCCATCCATCCATCCACCCACCCACCCACCCATCCACCCATCCACCCATCCATCCATCCATCCACCCACCCATCCACCCACCCATCCACCCACCCATCCATCCATCCATCCATCCACCCACCCATCCATCCATCCATCCATCCATCCATCCATCCCACCCACCTACCTCTAGGTGCTTTACTATGTGCTTGGCGTTGTGCTGGGTGCTGTGATGAAAAGGATGTACAGAAAACCTAAGATATTGGGTCGGGTCTAGCATTAAGGCAATCAGGCTTACATCCGTTGAACTACTAGAGGCAGAAATAAGACAGCCTGTGGTTGAATCTGTTACCATGATTTAGAGATGGATGGGACTGTAGGCAGGTAGACTAAAGGGGCAGGAACAAGCAACAAGCAACATATTTAGTGTCGCAAGAGACCAGGCACCTGATCTCCTAATCCCGGAGTGGTCAGTGAGGTGGTGCATTTGTTAAGATGATAATAACAAACAACAGTAGCACTTATCACTTATTGGGTGCATCAAGCCTTGTTATAAATATATTACTCAAATGCACCACCTTACTTCTTTCTCCCAATAACTGTGTAAGGTCTAGACTCACCTATCCCTGTCTTTACAGATGGAAAATCAAAGCCTTCAGAAGTTATACAGCCATCAGGTGGCAGAGCGGGGACCAGCATCCAGGTCTGACGGAGGTCCAAGCCCAGGTTGGACCGCCTGCGTGTTAGGGCCAGCAGCTGTCTGGACGGTCCTTCGCTGCCCAGCTGCACATCTGGGCAGCCGCCAGGAGCTGCTCTGTATTTTGAGTGTCAGCCCTGTGCCGGGGGTTGGACTAGTTCAGAGAGTGGGAAGGCCTCATCCTATGGCCAGAGGCCTCAGTTTCCCACTCAGGCCTCATCTCTTAGGCTGCTGATTTTCTCCCTAAGAATAGCCGTCTGTCTGAGCAGGGCGTCTGAGGATAGTTCTTCAGCATCTCAGGGCAGAAGCTTGGCAGAGGGAATGCTTCTCCACCCACTTGCTTCCCTGTTTCACAGTGTCCTATCCATCTGACTCATTCATTCATGTATTCATTCAACAGACTATCACTGAGCACCGATTCCCTGCCCTGTGGTGGTCCAGGTCCTGGAGGGGATGGGAAATGAAGATTGGTCAGTATGAGAGACAAGACACTTACACAGCAACAGCCAACCCAGGTGCACTAGGAACAGGAGGACCACGAGGAAGCACAGGCCACGGCCTGAGTGAGTTTGAGAAGAGCCACCCCCAGGTTTGGCAGGAGTGGACAAGGGGTGTGCATTAAGGAAAGATTCAAGGAGGTGGAATTTGAGCTTGAAGAGAGGGTAGGATTTGCGAATGTATAGCCCGAGGGCAGGACTTTCCAGGTCACGAGAATAGCATGGGCACAAGCCTAAGGGTGGGAACACGTGGCTCTGGGGAACGGGGACAGGTCCATGCGTGGAAGAGCAGCAGTGGTCAGGATGGCACTGGGGGTGGGCCGGCCCGTTGATCTGTGAGCTGTGAGCTGTGGCATAAATCACGTCAGTCACAGCCTAGCCCCCTGTAGCCAGTTGGAGAGAGCTGGGAATCAGGCCCAGAGGCCCCGGGAAGAGTCTTGACCCCATGTGGCTGGCCTAGCTGGGGTCACACTTCCCACCTGGCCCTGGGCTGCCTGTTCTTGGCAAGCCCTCCATTGCCACCTGTACACTCTCCAACGTTACTTCTCAGCCCATAGACACATATGGCACCGGAGCTGGGAGGGGAGTTTAGAGAGCATGTCCCTCAGTGATTTAAACTTGAAGTATCTATAGGATCCCATTATTCAGAGAATCACAGGAACCCCAAGAAGAAAACAGAGAGGTTCCCATTCCATCTCCCATGGGTCCTACAGCAGCTCCAACGGCACCCTGGGAAATCTAGGACTCGGAGGAACCCAGTTTGAAAACCGCTGTCCACCTCCTCCCAATCTTCCTTTTACAGGTGGAGAAGCTGAAGCCAGAAGAGACGAAGGGGCCCCAGACTGCTTGACCAGTGGTTCAGGGCTCTTTGCCATTTTGGTCTGAGATCAGGGAAGATGGCAGTGGGCCTGGTTTCCCAGGGTTTGTAGCCATGACGCCTGGGCCCTGGGGCTGGAGCACCAAACACTCCACCCTGGTGGCAGTTGGCACTGTACCGGCTCCCTGGTGGCTTATCTCATCATCAATCCCAGGTCCATGCTGCCAGGGAATGGGGGGATGAGGAAGGCACAATAAAATCCCCCTCCACAGAGCAGGGCCTCTGGGTAACATGATTGTCTCCACATGTGCTGGGCCTTTTATTATTTACCAAAGCACTTTCAAAGACGTGATTCTGTTTAATTCTGACAGTCAGCCTGAAAGGTACACAGTCTCCCCATTTCACAACTGATAAGGCCGAGGCCCAGAGAGGCTGAGGGAGTTGCTCAGTGTCACCCAGGAGGTGAGGAGCAGAGGGTGAGCAAGAGGAAGGAGGTAGCTGTGTGTGTGTGTGTGTGTGTGTGTATGTGTTTGTGAACAGGCACTGAGGCTGAGAGCATGTCTCTGAATGATCACATAGGAACGGCTCCTCTCATCATGGGCACCTCACTGGAGACTGTAGGAGCCATGAGGGAGGGACCCCTGGACTCCAGAGCTGAGTTCGGTGCCTGTCCCAAGGCAGGCACCAAGTAAATGTCTGCGGCACAAACACAAGTAGAGGACATGCTCGTGACCTTGTGTCTCTCGCCCCAGAGGCTGCCTTGCCCACGGCCCATTCTCCTCTCCCAGGTCTGACATCTTCCCCCTTCCCTTTCTCCTCCTGCCGATGTGGAGAAACACGAACAAGCCTCCTGCCATGATGTCAGAGGGAAGCAACGACCATGTTTGTAGGGCATCCTTGTCACCCCTCCCCACCCGAGCCCGGGAGTCAACCCCAGCTGTCCCCTCCAGTCCCCGGACCACACCTGGCATCCCCAGGGCAAAGTGGCAGCGGCGCCCTCTGTGCCCGCAGCTCCAGGAAACAGCACTCATGCTCACTGGCGATGGCAGAGGCCAAGCGTCTGGGCTCCGGGTAACTCTGGGATCAGTGCCCAGCTCGGCGCGGACTAAAGCTTTCCCACCCCAAGGCGCACACCGCCATAAAGGTCTGGGCAGGTTTCTCCAGCTCCTCTGGAAAAAAGGGGGTTGCCCACAACCCTCTCCTTATTGTTGTTAATCCTCACCTCAGTATATTTTTCCCATTGATTTTTAGAGAGCGTGTTGGTAGGTGGGGGAGGATGAGAGAGAGAGATGTGAAAGAGACACATCTACTGGTGGCCTCCCCCGGGGCTGGAGATCAAACCTGCCACCCAGGTACAAGCCCTTGACTGGGAATCGAACCCGAGACCCGGGTGTGCAGGTGCACCACTGAGCCATACCAGCCAGCCCCTCCCTCCCTCTTGCCTCTCTCCTTTACGGTCTGCCTCCTTTCTCAGCCCCGAGGAGACAGTGTGCATAACACGTTTTGATAGACCCAGGAACCTTCTCAAAGATACATAGCTGATGAGAAGCCCCCTGCCCAGTGCTCTCTTTCTGCCGAACGTCCTAGAGTCACTGGCATCTGAGGACCCAGGAGGAGACACTCCCAGGGAAGCTGAAACAGGCAGTGGGCACTCCTCCAGGGCCTGACACGTGTGACCTGCAGAGGAGGCACCTGCCACCATCTCATCCCGACACCAGGTTACAGCTCCCTGGCACAGCCCTCCTACTGCTCCGACCCTGAGAGCTGGTCCCCGCTGCTAAAGGGGCGGCTTTCTGGGGTCCCCTCCTTTCCTGTAGGGCTCTGATGAGAATCTCTTCACCCCCCGCAGGCCTGGCATCAAACACAACACAGGAATGATGACAAGGCTGAAAAAGGAAATCCACTTTATTTACAATTGACCAGTTGGTGACACATAGGTCTTTTTGTGACCTTGTTGACAGACTCCTGGGCAAGGGGCCCACTCCCTCTGCGGGGGAAACGCACCATCCTTCCTCACCCTGCTTTGAAGGTCCAGCTGCTGGCAGGTCCCTCCTGCTCTGACCAGCCTCCACTTGGGGCCATCCCACCGACATCCACCTTCCGGGTAGCCAGTGGCCCCAAACCTCTGCCAAAGGCTCTCCTTACCTCCTCTTAAGGCCCTGTCTTGGTCTCGGTGGTGGGGCACCTAGTGGGGAACCACACACATCTGCCCGAAGAGAGATGGGGTGGATGAGGAGTCCTGTGGGCATGCCAGGTGCGGACACAGGCTTGGTGCAAAGAGCTGTTACCAGCCTCCTCTGTGGTTTGGGTTGGCAGAACCATCCCAGTCTTCTCCAAGGAGGAGCAGTGAAGTCCCAGAAGCTCTCCAGGGGGTAGGGAGGCCAGGCATAGGGCCTGCCAAGTTTTCTCAGTTCCCATCTCTGGGCTGCCCTCCATCCCAAGCCACTGTTCTTCCCCTACAGGAATGCCTCAGCTGGGTCATCCTCATCCAGGGAGAAAGGCTAGCCTGCCTCCACCTGGCCAAGGTCCAAGGCCACCCTCCTGGGTTTCTGGAAACTTCTCCCCCTTTATCGTGAGAGGATTTTTTTTGTCTATCAAAGAGACTTGTTGTAAAGCGTAGGAAGCAATTCCACAACGGAGGGCGCCCAGAAACTCCGGATTGAGGTTGGGGGAGGGGGGACAGGTGAACCTTGGCTATTCCTCCCCCCAACTTGTCCCCACATAACCAAGGGCATATCAGGCGTCACCCTGCGGCAGGATGAGGCGCAGAACAGACCACGGAGACCACGAGGGGGGCAGGGGCCGGGGGCCAGGGAGGAGCCAAGCGGGTGGGGCCAGGGTTGGAGGCTGTGTCTGGCGGCCGGGCCTGGGGGCCGGGAGTCCCGCCGGGCCCGTTCTCAGCGCGCCTGGCCCGCCCGCTCCCGCAGGGCGCCCTTCCAGCGGCGGGGCTGTGCGGGCGGCGGTGCCGGGGCGCCCCGCAGGCTGCACGTCCTCAGCTCCCGGGTCAGGCTGAGCACCTCGGCCCGCTCGGGCTGGGGGGCCCCCTCCTCCGGGCGCTCCTCCGCGCCCCGGTCCTCCTCCTCCTCCTCCTCCTCGTCCTCGTCCTCCTCCTGGATGCTGCTCAGGCGCGGCAGCCCGCGGCCGCGCTCGGCGGGGGGCGGCCGGTAGGCGCACTTGGCGTTGAGCTGGCGGCGCAGCGGCGCGCGGGGCACGGAGGCGGCGGCGCCCCCGGCGCGGAGGAGCTGCTGGCGCGCGTGGCGCGCGTCGCTCTGGCGCTGCAGCCGCTTGAAGTCGCTGAGCGCGGCCAGCGCGGCCTGGCGGAGCAGCCGGGCCAGGGCGCGCGCCTGGTGCGCCCGCGCCAGCAGCACGGCGTGGCAGCGCAGCACCACGGCCTTGTGGCGCGCCTGGTGGCGGTACACCCAGGCGAAGACGCGCGGGTGGCGGCCGTCCGCCGCGCAGTGCGTGATGCGGGGCAGCAGGTAGGTGTGCGCCGCCGGCCGCCGGCCCCCCGCCCCGCCCGGGGCCCCCGCGGCGCCGCGCTCGCCCGGCTGCATGCGGAGGCCGTGCGGGCCCAGCGTCAGCTTCATCTTGGAGCCGCCGCCCGGCCCGCAGCGCGCCCAGATCTTGCCCACGGCGTCGTCGGTGCAGCCCTCGCCCTTGGCGTGCAGGGTGACGGCGTTGCCCAGGTACCACACGGTGTAGGTGGGGTCCTCCCGGGTGAGCTCGGCCTTCTGCCGCCGGCTGCGGAACACGCGGCCCAGGCGCGCCAGCGGCCAGTCGGGCAGCAGGTCCGGGCAGGAGCGCAGGAAGCTGGAGAGCAGCGACGTGTAGGTGAGCCCGGGGCTCAGGCTCTTCGCCTTGCGCTTGGCCTCATCCTCCACCAGCACGAATTTGCTCCGTCGCCAGGGCAGCATCGCGGCGGCGGCCGGAGGGGCTGGGGTCGCCGGAGGCTCGCGGGCGTCCTCGGGGGTCCGGGAGGGAGCAAAGTTCACGGCTCGGGAGTCGCAAGAAGCCGGGCGGCGCCCGAGACGGTAGGTGCTCGGAGGTGGCCGGTGCCAACCAGGGCGAGCTTCGCAGATGCCCGCTGCCCAGCCGGACCAGCAGCTGAGATGCTCGGGCGGTGGCCGCGCGTCCGGGAGCGGCTTCCCCGGGAGACGCGCAGCCGTCCGGGGAGCTGGAGGGGCAGGGGCAGGGGCTGGGCGTGGTGGGGGCGCCCCCAGGCCTGAGCAGGGCGGATCCCGGGGTCCCGGACGCTTCGAGGTGAGGTCTCCGGAGCTGGGGCTGCGGCGGCGGCTCCGGGGGGCAGACGGAGCGCGACTGCGGCGGGGACTCCTCGGGCTGGCGGCTCCACCTCCCGGGGCTGCTGCCTGCATCACCGGGCGGGACCGCTAGCTGTCTAGTCCCCTCCCCTCTCTCCTCCCCCTTGCCAGCTAGCGCAGCTCCGAGCCCGAGCCCCGGCACAGGCGCGCTGGAGCGGATTTAATCATTATCACCGGAGGGTGGGGGCGGGCGGGGCGGGGGAGGCGATGGAGCCGCCTGCAGCGCAGGGAGGGTTTTGCCAATGCAGATTCCTCCGGCCTCCCTGGGGTCTCCCAGCTCCCAGAGCTGCACCGGCGACCCCCTCCTCTCTTTCCAGGACCCCCCCTGCCGCTCAGCACGGCGTGTCCTGGCCCCCGGGCCTCAGTGGCTTGGGTGGGTTCCTGGTGGGGCGGCCTGGCGCACCGAGCCTCCGGTCTGCACCGAGAGAGCCAGCCGAGGTGGCCGGAGCGGCGCAGTGGAAAAGTACTGTCGCCCGGGGAGGCTCTCTCTCTCCCAGGTTCTTCCAAGGTCGTGGGCCAGGCGCCTCGTCTGAGCTGGGAGGCCCCGTCCCTGCTTCGGTGGTGGCCGCTGGTGCCCCTCGCTGGGCACGAAGCAGGAAGGGTATCCTTGGAGGGTGGAGGAAACTTCCAGAGCATTTTTTTGGTGCGGGGCTGGGTGCACAGCAGATGAAAAGCTCCTTCTTCTGGCCAGAGGACCCGCCTCTGGGTTCTCCAGAGGATTAAAAAAGAGAAAACTGGCCTTAGTCGGTGTGGCTCAGTGGATAGAGCGTTCAGGCCTGCGGATTGAAAGGTCCCAGGTTCGATTCAGGTTAAGGGCATGTAGGGGGTGTGCAGGGGGCAGGTGATCCATGTTTCAGTCTCATCGATGTTTCTAACTCCCTTCCTCTCTGTAAAAAACTCAATAATATATATATATATATATATATATATATATATATATATATATATATATATATATATATATATATAGAGAGAGAGAGAGAGAGAGAGAGAGAGAGAGAGAGAGAGAGAGAGAGAGAGAAAACTGACGATGACTTCATCCAGCATTGCCCAGCACCCCTGAGGGTTGGCACTGGGTGTCCCATTTGACCCTGGTTTATTAAGTGACTTGCCCAGGATGACAAGGTTGCTAGGAGGTGGAACTAGGGCCCACTCAGGCCTGAGTGACCCATGAGCGGGCCCTCACTCTTCTGCATCCATATGCTGCGTGTGGATGGGGCATTTTCCACCCCCCTATCGGGGACCCTTCAATGGGGGCTCTTTTTGGGAGGGGTTCTACGTGCTGGGAAAGAGACAGTTGTCCCTGAGTGTGGGGTCACGCCTCCCCTCTCAGGATTTGTTAAGACACAAGCTCCTTGGACTCCCAGGTCTGCTCTGATGGGTGCCCCGGAGCTACCGCGGGAGGCTCTCACCTGAGCCCTTTCCTTGGCTTCAGAACAGGTCATCTGGGGAGTCCTCAGGTCAGACATGAGCCTAGCCCAGTGGTCGGCAAACACATTAGTCAACAGAGCCAAACATCAACAGTACAATGATTGAAATTTCTTTTGAGATTTAAAAAAATATATATATATTTTATTGATTTTGTACAGAGAGCAAGGGAGAGCGATAGAGAGTTAGAAACATCAATGAGAGAGAGTCATCGATCAGCTGCCTTTTGTACACCCCCTACTGGGGATATGCCCGCAACCAAGGTACATGCCCTTGACCTGAATCGAACCCGGGACCTTTCAGTCCCCAAGCCGACGCTCTATCCATTGAGCCAAACCGGTTTCCGCTCTTTTGAGATTTTTTTACTTCCACAATGGGCCTTGACGTTTCAGTCGCATTGTACATGCTAGCTCGCACTCACACATGGTATTTTGTGGAAGAGCCACACTCAAGGGGCCAAAGAGCCGCATGTGGCTCTCGAACCGTGGTTTGCTGACCCCTGGCCTAGACTTTTGGGCCTGGCCAGACCGAAGCAAGTCCTCTGAGAGTGGGGGCAGTGATGTGCTTCCCCGTGGGGCAACATTCCGGGTAGGGGGCAGGAGTAGTGAGTGGCTGAGCTCAGAATCCTTAGGGGAATCAAAGCAAAAAAAAAAAAAATCCACAGCAAGGCTGCATTTCTGCATGCTCCTAAAATGACACACAAATAAAGAACAAGAAATTACTTAGAGTGACGGGATCTTAGCTTTGGAGGGCCCCACAGATTCCTGGTCTACTGCAGCCTCACATTATTTTTTTTACAATGTGGAAACGTCTTTACTGCCTTCGGCTGGTTACAAAAGTGAAGTGATCCGTGCTTGTGGTAAAAATTGCACCGGAAGGACATGGAAGTCTCCTTCTGTTCTCACCCCGGAGATGTAGACGTGACCTCATTTCCCCTCGAGAGAGCAGACTGAGAAGCCCAGGGACCATTCGAGTGCTTTTCATGGGGCCACATTAGCCCCCCGGGATCTAAGGAAGCCATTAACTCAACTAGCCCACTTTTTAGAATGGACTTGGGTGGTTTTTGGCCTGAGGGAAACCAGCTAGGGCGGATTAATGGGTATTAAATTGTGTTTCCTATAAACCAGCTGTGTGACTTTTTAAACTAATACAAAGAAATCAAAATTAAATTGAACCAAGAAAAAATTCCACTGCATGCCGATCGATGAAGTAGTGATGACTGAGGCAAAGTTGGGAGCTTTTTCCAAGGACAACTTTTTTACTTTTTCCAGAAGCATGTAATCAAAGAAACCCAAAACTTCCTGGCATACCTGTCACCAATTCATCTCTCAACTGTCAGCCGGACGAACACAACCGGATGATCTTTAGGTCTCTATGCTTCTTTTTTTTTCTTTTTAAAAATATATTTTATTGATTTTTTTTTTTTTTTTTTACGGAGAGGAAGGGAGAGGAATAGAGAGTTAGAAACATCGATCAGCTGTCTCCTGCACTCCCCCTATTGGGGATGTGCCTCCAACCAAGGTACATGCCCTTGACCAGAATCGAACCTGGGACCTTGCAGTCTGCAGGCTGATGCTCTATCCACTGAGCCAAACCGGTTAGGACTAAGTCTCGTGTTTCTTAGAGATGCACCCTCTTGGAGGCCTCCTCTCTGGGCTCCCATCTGGACTACTCTATAGACCTGTGTGGCTATGGTCCTGGGACTTTGCTTTGCTTACCATCCTAGGAATTTCCTCAGCCTTTTTCCTGGGCTGGATCCAGTTTTCTGGATCCTTTGCCCCGCCCCCTCCACCCTGCCCTGATTTATTTTCTTGTTTTGGCAGAGCTTTGTTTAGTCCAGTAGCTTTGACTGATGGTTCATTCTGCTGGGTATAGAATTCTGGATTGGAAATAAATTTCCCTCAGATTTCGGAGGACATGATTCACGGCTGTTGTTGAAAAGTCAAATGACATTCAGATACCTAATCATGTATGTGTGAGCCAATTTTTCTCTCTCTGGCAGTTTCTAGAATTTTCCAGAGGTCTAAAGTTTCATACTGATGTGCATATACTCTGAGCACTTGGTGGGTCTTTTAGTCTGTAAATCAATATCTTTTAACCTGGAAATCAATTTTGGGGACATTCCTTTGGGCTAATTTCCTCCACTCTGTTTTCTGGATTTGTTTATTTTCTAATTTAGTTGGATATTAGAACCTCTTGGATTGAGACTCTAATTTTTCAAAATGTCCTTTCCAAATGTTTCATTTTAAAAAATGTGTGTTCTATTTTCTGGGCCATTACTTCAACTTAACCTTCCAACTTTTCTATTAGATTTTTTCATATCTCTTCTTGTAATTTTTCACTTCTAAGAGCAATGTCTTGTTCTTTTTTTTTTTTATAGCATCCTATTCTTGTTCATGGACATAATATTATCTCTAAGAATGTTACTTATAATTGCTTTGGTTGTAATTGTGATAAAACACACATAAAGTTTACCCCCTTAATTAATCTTAAGTGTGTTCTTAAGTTCATATTAAACATATTCAATTGTTGTATAACCCATCTTCAGAACTTTTTCTCTTGTAAACTCAAAATTCCGTGTCCATTAAACAATATCTCCCAATTTCTCCCTGTTCCTTGTTCCTGGCAAGCACATTCATATCCAAGCCTCTGTCTCTATGAGTTTAACTACTTTAGCTACCTCATATATATGAGTGGGATCATAGAGTATGTGTTCTTTTATGACTGGCATAATGTCCTCAATGTTTCTCCACATTGTAGCATATGTCAGAATTTCCTTCCTTTTTAAGGATATTCCATTGTATGTATAGAACACATTTTGTTTACCCCCTCAGCCGCTGATGGACATGTGGGCTGCTTCCACCTTTTGGCTATTGTGAATAATGCTGCGATGACTCTGATTTCAATTGTTTTTGGAGCTGTTACCAGAAGTGGAATTACTGGATCACATGGCAATTCTAGTTTATATATTTTGAGGAGCCACCATACTGTTTTTCATAGCTGCTGCATTATTTTACATTGCACAAGAGTTCATATTTCCGTATACCTTTGCCAGCACCGGTATAGTTGTCTTTAAAAACCCTCTTAAGTTTTATGCATTCCATGGCTCTCCCTGAGTTCCTTCTCCCTGTTTTTAATTATTTTACCATAAATAAGTAATTTTAAAAAATGTGGAATTTGACGTTCATGTTTATAGTTTTCCCCTGACACCTGGCAATCATTGTGTCTGAGAGGCACAGGAGCTGATTGGGGGGTGCATGGGACTTGCTATGTGGGGATCGAATTAGTTCTCTCTCGTAACTTAATCCTGACAAAGACTCTCCTTGATCAGATTTAGCCAGGCTTCCCTGAACTAATCCCATCCCAGCCAGTCCTGCTTTGCCCAGTTTTAGCAATAACCTTGTTAAGTCAGTTTAACTCCCAACCCTGAAATCTTTTCAAACTCTTCACCCCTCTTTTCTCTCCTCCCGCTGATATCCGATCATCCCAATCATCCCAGCTGATTATCCATCCCACCTGCCTTCAGCAGGACTCCTGTCAACTCAGAAGCCCTCCCACCCCTGATGTTTCCACTTCATATTTTTCCACACTGACTCCCACCTGCGCCTGGGCTGCAACTCCCTACTCGTGCCTGCTGTACTCGGAACTGAGCCCTGTTCTACTTTTTAAAACTATATTTTTTATTATTATCAGAAAGGATGAAAAGAGAG